GACTCTCCCCTCCGTCCTGAACCCAGCACGAATTGTGCTTCAGTACGGGATCCCAGTCTCGAGCCAGTGCAAGCACCTGACACGCTGCTGGCTGGAGGAGGCAGAAAAAAACCTCTTACAGCTGATCTATCATGTTTCACTCTTGTACCCCTGCCACCGAGTCTAGTAACGGTGTTGTCGATACTTGGATTGTAGCAAATTAATTCTTAGAGCTCATTTTGTGCTCACAGGGACTGGAAGATAATTGACACACCACTGCTCTCCAGCTGCAGTGAACTTCTAAAATCGGGAAACTTTATCCGTGTCCTTTATCCCGGTACAATGCACATGTATCTCCGGGAAGTAGCACCTAATTTTCCCTTGGGCCGCACACATTGACCTTGGAACTGGCAATGCAAGGTAATCCCAGGAAAGAAATGCTTCCAGAAGCCAGAGGCTGTTCAGCATTCATGAGGGCAGTGAAGAGAAGGTCTGCGCTTCAAGGGCCTTCAGGTACTGGGTGCCACATTCAGGGCCAGGCCTGTGGGTAGAGGTGTTTTCATGAAGGCCAGTTACATACAGGCAGAAGTGGGCATATACTTGATCTTTAATAGCCGTTACCTGTGTCATTTTTCCTCCCTGGAGCGCAGTCAGTACAGCATCAAAGAATAGCAAGACTTTTCAAGGATCACCCAATATTTCAGTATGCATAAAGCATGTAGACATGCTATTGCCAATACTACGACTTTGTTCTTCTCTTGGAAACCTAAAAATCCATTGCAGACACACATCCATAAAGCTTTTGGTCCCTCTGGAAGACAAGGAAATGATGCTTTCCTTTCTCTTAGCAAAAGGAAATCTGATGCACAGAAACATCAACAGTCAGGCTCAAAGAAAGGTATTTAGGCACTTTGCTTTTGCTCTCACTGAAATCAGGGGGAATCAATGTGTTTCAATGTCTTTATGGAGTTAGTCCTGAGACCTGCCAGTCAGAAGGTTATTTATAGAAACCAGGTGAACACAATGGCTAAAAACCAAAAACAAAACACCAAAAAGAACTCCCAGAACTATAAAAAGGAAACTTCTTAATAAGAGCAACAAAGAGTTAAATCATGGGAGTGACTATAATGGCAAATGTCAGCTTGTAAAGGTAAGACCTGGATCTCAAAGAGAAGCTGCCTTTGAATTTCCTGGCTTGCACTGATCCACAGATTCACCTTTAACATTCTTCAGAGAGACAGTTTGGGTTTTGCCGACTGTCTTGGGTTTTTTTTCCAACATTAGGGGTAAATACACAGAGGCAAATACCCAACGGTATTCAAACGTAGTTGAGAGGGGAGGTCAGGAGGAGCACTCCACAGGTCTCCACGTGCAGCAGCATCTCCAGAGCAAATCAAGAGCTGTGTTTCGCGGCGCTCCCTTTGGGACGTTTGTGATCCAGCTTCCCTGCCACCCTGCTGCATGCCAGAGAGGTCTCCAGACCAACACTGCCTACCTAAAGCCACCTTTTTCTCTCTCAGACCAGTTTTACCAGCTCTCATACTGGTTTTACAGCCCACTGAAGGCTCACTCTGCTGTCTGTACTGGCAGGAGTGCTGCAGAGCTGATCTCTTTGGGCGTTTTCCCATACCTGGGTTTAGGATTACCGTCCTCAGGGAATGCCCTAGAGTTTCACCAGCTGCCTCGTTAACCCTGAACAGGTAAAGCTGACTGCAGACAATACAGTTACTCAATGCAAAGCAGGCAATGTGTGTCTATAGTTTGTTGGAAGAGAAATGAAACAACAGGTATCTCTCTGCAGCACTTCTGGACAAGCTGAGCTGTTGGCAAGTGCTGTGTTTCATGAACCCTTCAATTTGGCTTGCAGAAGTCTGGGTCTGGGGGCACCATTTCCCTTAACACCCAAAACATCTCTGGTGCATCATTCATTAATACCTTATTCATTAACTTACGCAGGAAGCGGTCTGACCTTGCTTCTGTAAAACCGTGGGCTACTGCAGGGAACCGGGAACGCCCCGCGGGCCTGGTTAGTGGGATCCCCACCTGCCCAGGCAGCAGGAGAGCTGGCTCAAGCCCGGCAAAACCCGTTCACTCGTTACCGGACGCCTTTCTGTGGGGCTGGGCGACGTGGGACACGCGGGGTAGAGCTCAGCAGGCGGAGCGCTGTTCTTTCGGGGTCCGGATCCTCTAAGGCGGTAACCGCAGGTGAGAGCGGCCCTGTGGGACACAGACCAGCCCCGCCCCTTCGTGGGACCCCCTCTGCGAGGCTGAGGGTGCCCAGGGATGGGCTCTGAGGGAGCGCAGGGCGGCCTTCCTCCTCCGCACTGCCGCGCTCTCCCGCGGAGATGTCGCGTCAGGGGGCAATGCCTGACACCCAGCAAGAGCCGGGTCTGCC